AGAGAGGGAGACACAGAATCTGAAACAGGCTCCAGGCTCTGAACTAGCTGTCAGCACAGAGCCCGATGTGGGGCTTGAACCCATGAACTGTGAGATCATGACCTCAGCTGAAGTCGGACACTTAACCGACTGAGCCATCCAGGCGCCCCTAAACTTTCAACTCTTGATTTGGGCTCAGGTCATGGCCTCACAGTTTGGGGGTTTGAGCCTCACATCACACTCCTTTCCCCCTTTCTCTCTACCCCTCCCCTGTTCATGCCCTCTCTCTCTCTCAAAATAAATAAACTAAAAAAAAAAAAAAAAAAGGTGGGAAGTATGTTCTTTATAAATACCACAGCCAGAGAAGACCTCATGGAGAAGGGGCAGCTGAGCAAACACTTGCAAGTGCTAGGAAGCAAGCTTTGTGCATATCTAGAGGAAGAGCACTGCTGACGGAAAGCAAAGCATGTGCAAAGGCCCTGAGACAGGAATGCACCTAAATGAGGAAAAGTGAGAAGGCAAGTGTGGCTGGAGTGAGCAGGTGAGATACAAATGAGGACAGGGGTGGTGGTAGGGGGAGGTCGAGGGAGAGGGGGAGGAGATCATTTAAGGCCTCGTTGACCGTTGACCACTATAAGGATGATGGCTTTTATGCAAGTGAGATAAGAAGTCACTGGAGGGTTGGGAGCAGAGGAGTGGCCCGACCTGATGCACATTTAAAAAGATTCCTTGAGGGGCACCTGGGTGGTTTAGCTGGTGAAGCATCTGTCTTCGGCTCAGGTTACAATCTCACAGTTCGTGAGTTCGAGCCCCACGTTGGGTTGTGCTGACAGCTCCGAGCCTGGAGCCTGCTTCAGATTCTGTGTCTCCCTCTTTCTCTGCCTCTCCCCTGTTTGTGCTCTGTCTGTCTGTCTCTCTCAACAAATAAACATAGATTAAAAACAAAATTTACAAAGATCCCTGTCCTCCCTTGGGTGGAGGACAGAATTGAGAACAGACGCAGGCCAAAGGCAGAAGCATGGGGCTGGGCTGGGAGTCCGGCTGGTGGTGGCGGCCTGGACGGGGGGCAGCAGAGGCACTGACATGATGGATGCGGAACGGAAGAGAAAGAAAGGAGCTTGGGCTGACACCGAGGTTTTTGGCATAAGCAGCACAAAGGGTGTAGATACCATGAATTAGGATGGAAAAACGTTAGGTTTTGACCATGAAGATGCCTATGACATATCCGAGCGGAGAGCTGAATGAGAACAGAAAAATAGGAAACCACCTAGAAGCGACTGAAATGTCACTCGTAGGGAGTGGTTATGTAAGTCACTGCACCGCTTTGCTGCGGAAGGAACGGCCGTGATGAAGCATGTGATATAATTATACTGGGATGAAGATGTGTATTATACGAAAAAGCTAGTTGCAGAATGTATGGTAGCATTTTAATGAGATTGTAAATAATCTATGTATGTAAGTATGTGCGTGTGTATGTTAGCTTACATGCCCAGAAAAAAATGTGGACATATACACCGCAGACTGCTAATTGTATCTATATGCAGAATGGGATTGGCAGAGGGGAGAATGGAATGTACACATTTTATTTTATTTCTGTATTATTAGAAGTTTTATTTTTTAATTTTTTTTAATTTTTTAATGTTTTATTTATTTCTAGGAGAGAGGGAGAGAGAGAGACAGCGTGAGCAGGGGAAGGTCAGAGAGAGAGGGAGTCACAGACTCTGAAACAGGCTCCAGGCTCTGAGCTGGCAGTCAGCACAGAGCCCCACGCGGGGCTCGAACCCACGAACCGCGAGATCATGACCTAAGCGAAAGTCGGACGCTTAACCGACTAAGCCACCCAGGCGCCCCTATTATTAGAAGTTTTAAATAAAGAACATGTATCATATATGCAATATAAAAACCAAAAAACCTGAAAAATTTTTACAGTGCTCTTTTATTTTAAAAAGTTTTTAATGTTTAGTTTTCAGAGAGACAGAGAGAGAAGGAGGGAGAGACAGAAAAAATAAGCGGGGGAGGGGCAGAGAGAGAGGGAGACACAGGATCTGAAGCAGGCTCCAGGCTCTGAGCTGTCAGTACAGAGACTGATGCAGGGTTTGCACCCAAAAACCGTGAGATCATGACTTGAGCAAAAGTCGGATGCTTAACTGACTGAGCCACCCAGGTGTCCCTTTACAGTGCTTTAAATGCTGCTTGGTTCATACCCACGCAAACACTCTCAAGCCCAGGTACATTGTGTTAGGGCTGTTCTTTGAGACAGGCAGAAATTTTCTGATTGCCGCTTTTGTCTGAGGCATCGAGCAGTTGGAGATCTGGGGTGACTGGCACCGGGAGGGGGAAGAGTGAACCAAAGCAAGGGGAAGGGGAAGAGACGAAATAAGTCAAGGGACAGTCATGATACAGAGATTGAAAACTCAATATGGGGTAGGACTGAGTCTCCAGACATGTGTTTGTATGGCTGGCACAGAGTTTATCAACTTCTTTTTTCAAGTTTTTATTGAAATTCTAGTTAGTTAATATATATGGGTAAGTTGGTTTTAGGTGGAGAATTCAATGATGTGTCACTTACTTACAACACCCAGTGCTCATCACAAGTGCCCTCCTTAATGCCCATCACCCATCTAGCCCATCCCCACCCACCTTCCCTCCAGCACCTCTCAGCTTGGTCTCTATCATTAAGAGTCTCTTATGGTTTGTTTCCCCCCTACTCTCTCTTTTTCCCCCTTTCCTCTATGTTCAATAGTTTTGTCTCTTAAATTCCACACATGAATGAAATCATATGGCATATTTTTTTCTCTGACTTATTTCACTTAGCATAATACATTCTAGCTCCACCCACATCACTGCAAATGGCAAGATCTCATTCTTTTTGATGGTTGAGTAATATTCCATTGTATCTATACACCATATCTTTATCCTTTCATCAGTCGATGGGCACGTGGGCTCTGTCCACAGTTTTGCTCTTATTGATAACGCTGCTGTGAACATCGGACGGGAGTTCTCCAGTGTGACACAAGCCCACCACTCCCCATGACCTCACATGCAGCCGAAGTCACACAGTTATGTTATTGGAGGCAATGACTTTTACACTCCCATGCTGACACGCATCGAGTTCTTCCCTGGGCTATGCGCTGCGTTCAGTTCTGCTGTGTGCTTGCTGTTTTGGGCGTGTGGGGAATGCCAGAAGACTGAGAGCATGAATACTCTCCCCCATGAAATCTGCACGTCTCATCTATCTCTCTGTTAGCCAGGTTCATGTCTTCGGTCATGGCCACAAAAACTGAAGTGTTAACAACATCACTTTTTTAGTTTATACTCAGGCTGTGAACGTGTGAACTGTACAAATCAGCAGGCAATGGAGTCCTGATTTCTGATTTTTTTATTTAAAAAAACATTTTTTTAAAGGTTTTTAAAATTTATTTCTGAGAGAGAGAGAGACAGCATGAACAGGGGAGGGCCAGAGAGAGAGGGAGACACAGAATCTGAAACAGGCTCCAGGCTCTGAGGCTAGCTGTCAGCACAGAGCCCGACGCGGGGCTCGAACCCACGAACCGTGAGATCATAACCTGAGCCGAAGTCAGACTCTCAACTGACTGAGCCACCTGGGCACCCCAACCTGACTTCGGATTGAATTTTCACCATTCCTTCTCTTCCTGGACTGGTAAGAGTTCTCCTTCTCCTTCAGTGCAGAAGTAGTGCAAAGCTATCAAGACTCAGTCGTTGTTCTGATGATGATGTGGCAGGGACGGATGGAATCCTGACAATACAACACTGTGCCTGGGCAGCGTCAACCTCGCTCACAGTCTGAAGGTGGGGGAAAGAAACCTTGGCAGGTGAAGACCCAATAAAGTTAAAAATAAGCTCAGCATCTCTTTTGCCAAGCAGCTTTCTGCACATTAAATAATATCCATCCTAAGATGACTATAAGTGGCTATTAATATAATTATTTGTTGAATGAATGAATAAACAAATGAATGCTCTACATTCAGTATCTCTTTATCTCAGTGAAAAGAGAGCCCTAAATAGACCTCTGTGGAATTCTTTCTTTCAAAGTGAGTTTCACGATCTAATTACGGCCCTCAGGCCGGCGTTGGGTCCTCAACTTCTGTGTATGGAACATAAAACTAAGAGACCTGGAAGGGAAGGGACCATCACATTTAACCGCATGTCTCCGGGGGGATGGAGGGGGGGAACGGGAACCTCTGAAAATGTTCTTTTTCCAATAATCATGGAATACACATTGCCTTTTAAGATTTGTTTCCCAGAACGGCAGAGATCATTTAGTCTGAGAGAACAGAGTGGCTTAATTATTTTTTTTTTCTTGTCTAGATTCTCTGCCAAGAACCACAGAGCAAAATGAAATGACAGTGTGGGTAGACAGCTGCTAAGTAATCTCTTTGTTGTATTTCTAATAAGATAGCTACATCATTTCTGTTGCTAACGTATAGCCATATTAGTTCTGAAATAAGCTATTATGGTTTTTTTCCCCTCAGTGGACCCCAGTCACAATAAGTAATACATCATTTATAATTGGAAATGCGTGTCCTTACAAACAAAGTTTGCTCCTTCTCGCTTAAACTTTTAAAGACTTTTGAGTATATTGTTTGAATTAGAAACCAGCAGCTTGATTTGCACACATAATTTGATACTGACTGAGCATCTCGTAAGGCCAGGCTCTGGGAGTATAATGAATACGAGAAGCAGGTGAGGGCAGGACTCTGAAGGAGACAGCATTTAAGGGAAGCAGACTGGGAGAGTCGGCCGGGAGAGCAGAAGAGCGTGGATGTCAAGGGCAAAGAGCATGTTAAGGAGGAGGTGAGCTTGCATGTGTTAAGTGCTATGAAGAACAACTAGAGCACCCGCTGGTTTTAGCGGCAGAGAGGTCATTGCTGAACCTGGTCAGAGCGGTTACAGAGGAGTCCCTGGGGCAGAAATGAGGTCACAGTGGACTGGAAGGGATCTGGATGTGAGAACAGAGGGGTGGGTGGGGCCTGAACGCATAGCTTCCCTTAGAGACGCTAACTGCTGCACCACAGGAAGCAGACGGGGGGCCACTGTGGAAGGGTCTATCCGAGACTGTGGGGCGGAGGGAACAGCACCTTCGCCACTGTGACAGAAGGTCAGTGGTGAGTGGTGGAACCCCCAGCCTCCTGACCCCGCGGTCCTTATCAACAGTAGAGATGTAGAGGGGGCAGGGATTGAAAGATATTCTTGCTTTGAGAACTTCAATTTTCTTTCCTTTTTTTAAAACCTGGATTAAAAAATTTTTTTAATGTTTATTTATTTTTGAAAGAGAGAGAGAGATCGAGAGAGGGAGAGAAAGAATGAGTGGGGCAGGGGAAGACAGACAAGGAGACACAGAATCTGAAGCAGGCTCCAGGCTCTGAACTGTCAGCACAGAGCCTGATGCAGGGGTTGAACTCAGGAACTATAAAATCATGACCTGAGCCGAAGTCGGACACTCAACTGACTGAAACACCCAGGCGCCCCAAAACTTCAATTTTCTTAAGAGATGGGAAGCAAGGCCACTTGCTGAGTGTGACAGGGAGGATGGTGGGGCAGGAACCTGACAGAAGTGGCAAAGGTTTGAAAATGCTCCTGTGGGAACCCGGAAAGACCTGCCTGGAGAATGAAGAAGGACCCTTGGCGGCGCAGGGGCCCAGCTGGGAGGGACGCGTATATACTGCATGTCCCGTGTACACTGCCAGCACTCAGGAACCTCAGTGTAAGGCAGAAGACAGCTGGGCTGATGGGGCGCCTGGGTGGCTCAGTTGGTTAAGCGTCAGACTTCGGCTCAGGTCATGATCTCACAGTTCATGGGTTCGAGTCCCGCGTTGGGCTCTGTGCTGACAGCTAGCTCAGAGCCTGGAGCCTGTGTCTCCTCCTCTCTCTGACCCTCTCCTGTTCATGCTGTCTCTCTCTCTCTCTCAGAAATAAATTTTTTAAAATATTAAAAAAAAAAAAAAAAAGAAAAAAAAAAGACAGCTGGGCTGAGCCGTGGCTGTGGTTTTGCCAGGCTGGAGTGGTGGAAGAATGGGGAGCTGGGACGGTGAGAGCATTGCCAAGAGTCTAAACCCTAGACAGGGAAGGAAGGCGGCCTCACAGGAGCCTCACCCTCTGAGAGAGGTGGGAAGGGACTGGAGGGCCTGATGAAGCTGAAGATCAAGTGTAATGGGACCCTGCCCTGGACCCCACATTCTGGGAGGGCTCTGCTCTGGCTCTTATCTGGCTCCACCCCTCTCCACATAGCAAAGAACCTGCAGGATGTGCCGACCCAGGCCTACACCCTCCACCTTCAAGGGGACATTACAGGCACCTGGGACCCTAGGATTAACTCCCTACCTGAACGGCCCTAGGCCTGTGTGGGCCTCTTCCTGAGGGCCTTCTCAAAGGGTGGCTCTTTGTAAGAGATGTGGATGAAGCTTGCAGTGAGCGCTGGTGTCCACGTGATAGTATAAGACCCCCTTGCCACTGGGAGCAGAGCCAAGGGACAGGGGCCATCGATGTCCCATGTGGACCTTCAAGGAATTGATGGTTTCTAAATCAAACCTTTGCCTTCTACCTTGTTATTAAAGTATATTTGTCAAGGTAGAAAGAGAAAACAAGTTTAATAGCTTACTTTGCTTTATAATCTATAGATGGATACACTATATACACAGATAGACATACACACACACATAGCGTGCGGGATTCCACGTGTACCCTTGTCCCAGGCATGCAAATGTCAGGGCTGTGCCTGAACGATGGAGTCATCTGGGTAAGAGGCTGAAGCAGGGATTCTTAGATTTCTGAGTCAACATGGCAGAGTCAACACTTGTTGAGAATCGTCAGTCTGAGGCAACATACAGAAATAACAGGTAAAATATTTTTTAAACTCACATAAGCCTTGTTCTGTTTATTTTCTATTTGCATTCTCTGCTTTGCCCTGGGCCCCTCTGGATCACATGACTTGGGCTCCCTTGTTGGCTGTCTTCTAGTTGGGTTTGGCCGGTATAAGGTACCAGCAAGAGAGAGGAAGGTGGGAAGAGACAGCATGGGTTATTTCTTTCCTGCTCCCTCCCTGCTTTAGGCCTGCCTTCTAACGGCCACGGCTACTTCCCTCCAAACTCAGCTTGTCCCGGGAGGTGCCTTTGTCGCCTTGTCGCAGTGCGAGCTGTCCCTGAATGCCGATCACCACATCTCCTCCTGCGCCTCTTCAGGACCTGTGTGGTCACAGCCTTCTGCTGTTCTTAGTCTCGGGGCACCTCAAATGACCTTGTTGGATTCTTCATTCCTTCCCATACTACTGTAAATAGTGTCTTCATTCAAATCTTTTGAATTTAAGTATCTGAACGAGATTCTATTTTTGGCTGGAGACTCGATTAATTAAAACCATTTTTTAAAACAAGAAAAGAATGCCTCTGTCAATCGGAAAAGATAATGGCCCCCAGGTGGTAAGTAATGATGAAGACTTTGGGGCCATTGTGAAATAGGGGTGGGGGCAGGTGCCAGAAAGACTGGGGGTCTTGGGTTTCTATATCTGCAAAGGGAAAGGGACTGAATATGCCCCACAGCTATCAGGGGGCAGGGAGGGTGGGATGAGATTAGTTCTGTTATTTCAGTTGGGGTTAAGTCCCCAAATTACCTGTGACTAGAAATGAAGACAAGATGCCTGTACTTGACTAGCAGCTCAGTCTGTACTGCCCTTGAGCTCAGAGACTGTTACTTCCCTACAGTGGGATTCCCAAACCATGCTTAATTTATGACTTGTTCCAGAGCTAAGGATCTCCAAACCACCGCTCAGAGGAACCCTTGTAAAACAAATCCATAGGGAAGTTATGCTCTCCAGAAAAGAAAAAAAATTACAAAATATGTAAGGATGTGCAGTGTGATTAAAGAAAGTCCAATGAATGAGACAATTCACATTTGAGAAAATAGAACAGAACACTCTGAAGAAGACTTTTAAAATCCTCAAAGTCATAGGGGCATCTGGGTGGCTTAGTGGGTTAAGCGTCTGACTTTCGCTTAGGTTATGATCTCGCGGTTCGTGGGTTCGAGCCCCGCGTTGGGCTCTGTGCTGACTGCCAGCTCAGAGCCTGGAGCCTGTTTCAGAGTCTGTGACTCCCTCTCTCTCTGACCTTCCCCTTCTCATGCTGTCTCTCTCTCTCTCTCCTAGAAATAAATAAAACATTAAAAAAAAAAATCCTCAAAGTCATAATGGAAGAACAGTAGCTATCAAATGAGGCTGTAATATGCAGAAGACTGTATATAAAATAAAATAAAATAAAATAAAATAAAATAAAATAAAATAAAATAAAAGGCCTTGGGGATGGAATACACAACACGGTGACTAGTTAATAAGAGCATACTGCATCTTTGAAAGTTGTTACGAAAGGGGAGCTTGAAAGTCCTCATCACAAGAAGAAACTAGTTTTTTAAATAACTATGTAACATAAGGAATATTAACACTGTGGTGATCATTTTGTAATGTACACAAACATCTAATCATTATGTTGTATACTTGGAACTAATTTAATGTTATTTGTCAATTATGCCTCAATTAAAAACATTTAAGGTTATGAAATAAGAATAGATAGAAATAAAAAGGAACCAGCTGAAAATCTTGGAATGAACAAATATAACTGGCAGGTTTGATGCAGCTTAAGAGAGATTTAGTGAACTGGAAAACAAAACTGTGGAAATCTCCCAGACTGCAGTACAGATATCTAAAAATGGATAGGGAAAAAAACCAAAAGGAAAATTAAGAAGACACAGATTGATATAAGGGAAAGCACAGACCTTAAACTAAAAGAAGTTTCAGAAGGAGAGAAAAACTGGAGGAGAAAATATTTCGTGATGCAAATATCAGATTAAAAGAAAAACAATATGTGCATCTCACATGTACAGGAAAAAAACATTCAAAGAAGTCCAGTGCCTGTTTACAATGGAAAAATTTAGTAGATTTAGACTACACAGGATTTTTCCTTCCAGCAAAACCCTATGCAACAACAACACACTAAATGGTGAGACTTTAGGAACATACCTATGAAAAGCCAGAAACACAATATGGATGCCACTAAATGTTCTTGCTACTCAATATTGTATCAGAGGTCCTAAATCATGGAAAACAGTTTTCGGGATGTGAGATTTCAGAGATGATACATTTCCCGTAGCGATCCAGGGTACGGTTATGGGAGCAGACAGCTGAGGTGATGGAGATGAAGGTCACTGAACTGAGAGCATGGAGGAACTGAAAAGCTAAAAGGCTGAGGGGCTCCCAGATGATGTCAGGGCATTGGACCTGGGGAAGCCTCTATGTGATGCAGTGATGTGGAGGGTGGTGGACGACAGTACAAAAGAGTAGGGTTTGTCAGAGGGCAGGACATGACGGTCTCCAAATAGCATCTCGCTTCTTGAGCGGTGCTTGCTCAAAAGAGCCGCTGGGTGAAGCTCTCGGGAAAGAGCCAAGTGTCACTTAAAGCAAGAAGGCTGATGCAATGTTTTACCTTCCAGTTAAGGATGTGGGAAAGTTTGTTAACAATGGAGATAAAGGATCCCAGGGATGTCCTCTGACATCCTGAAGGAGAGGAAAGTGGAGGTGGATCAGAACAAAGGAAGATGGAAGTGGAATGGGGATGAGGCAACCAGGGAGGGTAGAGGGGCTTCTGTTTTTAACACAGATAATAGGGCTATGAGCCTGGTGAGACTAGGTGGCATCAAGTGGCGTCAAAGAGAAAGCTCTCTCCGTTAGCACGCAGCAGCTTCCCTGATAGGAAGATCTGTTATATGGGTTTAGAAACAGAACACAAGGCCTCTTTGAGGTTACAGCAGGAAGAAATTTAAAAAAATACACTGACTTCCAGATTAGATCCACTAAGCATTAATGGCAGATTTTTAAAAAACATTTTGGAGACACACACACACACATGCACATGGGAGAGGGAGAGAGAGAATCCCAAGCAGGCTCCTGGAGCTTGACTCGGGGCTCTATCTCATGACTGTGAGATCATGACCTGAGCTGAAATCCAGAGTCAGATGCTTAACCTACTGAACCACCCAAGGCGCCCCCGCAGATTTCTCATTTAACAGTGCCCTTGTACTAGACTGTAGTTCACACTTACACATATTCCATACGGCATACCCACATTTACCAATGTTAGAAATTGAGCGGAATTAGGGTATGTCATTAAAGAATGCTTCTGGAATAAATACCAAAGTCTTATATCTAATGCATATTTAATAGAGGGCTTTAGACTTGGAATCTGGAAGTAGTAGTTAGTGGGTTAGTCTTTTTAAAGAAATTTTTTTATTGTTTATTTATTTTTGAGAGAGAGACAGAGTGCAAGCCAAAGAGAGAAAGGGAGACACAGAATCTGAAGCAGGCTCCAGGCTCTGAGCCGTCAGCACAGAGCCCGACGCGGGGCTTGAACTCACAAAGTGTGAGATCGTGACATGAGCCAAAGTCAGACACTTAACCGACTAACCCCATTAACGGGTTAATCTTACATGGAAGCTGCTTGAGATATTTTTATTTTATAATTTCAATGAAGTTGTTTTCTACTTTGCATAATTTACCTCAGAGAAATGGATTTTGGAGGCCAACCTCTTTGCTGACCACTTAGCTGCCCCCCGACTAGCAACTGTCTCCATTACATCTGCCTTATCATTTCCTCTGATGCACAGGATGGCACACACAAGTCTTAGGAAGCATCCCTTTCAATGAGGAACAAATATCAAAATAAGCAAGGATTGGCATCTGTTAGCCTATGAATCTGGACTGTTAATTATGTAAGACAAACATGATGTATTCAAGAAAATAGTACCCATTCATCTGCTTTTTTTCAAAATGGAAAAGCACTACATTTAATTTGTGGTTCTCTGCATTTTAAATAGGCAACTCAATGAAGCAATAAATGTGTTCATAATGAATAGATTTTTCTACATAGGAAACTCTTAATGGCAGTAGCAAAACTGAAGATTTAACCTGGTGAACATTAAAGTAAACAACAGAAACTCATAAGGATAACTGGAATTGGCCAGAAAATAAGGTTTCAGTAAAAAAAAAATTACTATTGTTGAGAGTAATTTTTAGGTTGTGATATGAAAATGCATCATTGTGTAAAAAGATAAGCCTACTGTAATTAAATTACCAGTATCTAAAATAAGATACAGCTCTCTGTGCCTCCTGCCTCTCTCCTCATAACTGCTGAGCCTGGGCACTCTGGTGAGTCCCTCTGGCCTTCTGGTCTCTTCGTCTTCTTCCTCACACTGCTGTGTTTTTTCTCCTTTCTTCTAGTCCTTTCTCTAAACTCCCACTGTTCTCCTACTCCTAAGCCTTTTCACTAAGCATTATGGAACTTCCATTTCTAATTAAACTAATCTATGCTAATGCGCTCCCTACATCAAGCCTTGACTGGACCTTGGTTCCCTGTTGGAGACTTGGTTTCCTTCCACCTGGTCTCCAAATCTCCTCCCCTCCTGACTCTTCTGGAACCTCACTCTACTGATTCCCCCTTCTCTCTTATGTCTTTAATCTTCTCTCTCTCTAATGGGCTCCTCCCCATAGAAATCATAATAATCTCAAATCAATCCCTCTCCGTTTTCCCGCCTCTCACGCCCTCCGCAGTCTTTCCCCCTCCCTCTTCCACCAAACCTCTCCCCTGTCTCCAAGCTGTTGGAGCCTACCACTCCACTGACTTGTTCTGGGTGCAGTCAATGATTCAGTAATTACTCCCTTGTTGCTAAACTGAAAAGACACTTTTTAAAAAAAATTTTGTTTCAATGTTTATTTTTGAGAGACAGAGCATGGGCGGGGGATGGGGCAGAGACAGAGGGAGAAACAGAATCCGAGGCAGGTTCCTGGTTCTGAGCTGTCAGCACAGAGACGGCCGCAGGGCTCGAAGTCACGAACCGTGAGATCGTGATCTGAGCCAAAGTCGGACGCATAACTGACTGAGCCCCGCAAGCACTCCTGAAAAGATACTCTTACTGCTCATCTTACTGACCTCTTGACAGCACTGGTCACCACTGACGCTTCCTCCCTTCTTGACACTCTTCCCTCTCAGTCTCAATGGCCACATCTGTCGCTGGATTCCCTTAATTCTTTGGGTACCTTTTAGGCCCCCATTATTGGTGTGCCCTCTGGTTCTCTCTTAGGCAGACTTCCCTTCTCATTTAAATCCTCTGTCTGAGAGATCTCACTCAGCCCCTGCCTTCAGTTACTGTTCATATGCTGATGACTCTCAAAATCTACGTTTCAAGTCTAGATTAGCCTCCCCGCCAACTTCAGAACTGCAGATCCAAATGCTGAGTGGGCATCTCCTCTTGGACAGCCTGAAGATGGTCCAAATGGAATCCATCCTTCTCCCTTTTATTTTTTAAAATATTTTTTATTTATTTCTAGGAGAGAGAAAGAGAGAGACAGCGTGAGCAGGGGAGGGTCAGAGAGAGAGGGAGACACAGACTTTGAAACAGGCTCCAGGCTCTGAGCTGGCAGTCAGCACAGAGCCCGACCCGGGGCTCGAACCCACGAACTGCGAGATCATGACCTAAGCGAAAGTCGGACACTCAATCGACTAAGCCACCCAGGCGCCCCATCCTTCTCCCTTTTAAATTAAAGAAAAAAATCTTTCGTTTTTGTTTTTGAGAAAGAGAGAGCGAGCATGAGTGGGGGAGGAGCAGGGAGAGAGAGGAGGAGAGAGAATCCCAACCACGTTCCAATGCTCAGTGTGGAGCCTGATGCAGGGCTTAATCCCACGACCCTGGGATCATGACCTGACCAAAAATCAAGAGTCAGATGCTTAACTGACTGACCCACCCATGTGCATCCTTTTCCTTTTTAAAGCTGTACTTTTTATGTTCCCTCTGTCAATGGACATTATCTTTACTCCCAAGGGCTAAACCTGAAATCTAGATTCAATCTTGATGCCTACCCTACTCTTCTCTAACCACAACCAATCTATTTACCTGGATCTGTAAACTTCTCCACACAAACACCTCTTAAATCCATCCACATTTCTCCAACACCTCAGCGATACCATAGCCCAGACTCCATCAGCTCTCTTCGATTGCCACAATGACCCCTAACCAGTCGCCCTACCTCTAGATATCCATTGTCTATAGTCAGGGAGATCTGCCTAAAATGCAATCTGATGCCACTCTCCTTCCTCAAAAACCCTCCAGGATTCTCCATTTCCCCTTGGAGGCGGCCCTCCCTCCTGATCTAACAAAGCCCCTCATAATCTGGCCGCTGTCCTCTAGCCTGCCTTCATATCTTGCCTCTACTCTGTGCTCCAATTACACTTGACTTCTTTTATTTCTGCAACGAAGCCATGTTCTCTTGCATGGGGACCTTTGTACATGCTTTTCCATACACCCAAAGCAATCAACCTCTCTTCTTTGCTGGGCTAACTCTTATTCATCCTTCCAGAATCAGTAGAGGGCACCTGGGTGGCTGAATTGGTTGAGCATCTGACTCTTGATTTGTGGCTCAGGTCATGATGCCAGGGTTGTGGGATCAAGCCCTGAGTCAAGATCTGCGCTGAGCATGGAGCCTGCTTGAGATTCTCTCTCTCTGCCTCTGCTCCTCTCTCCCACTTGTGTGTTCTCTCTCTGTCTAAAATAAAACATATGTTTAAAAGAGAAAAGAGACAGCAGAGGCATTACTTCCTGCCAGGTCTTCCTTACACAGGGCCAAGTACCCCAGCAATGTGCCCCCACGTCACCTGGTGCTTCTCCCATCACTGTGCTTCCCACACTCCGCGGGAACTACCGTTTAACTGTAGGTGACCAGTAGTTCTGTTGGCAAGGTCCACGTCTGTCCAGTACACCACACTGTCCCTGCACGAGCCCAGGCCCCGGGAAGGTAGGTACTCCATATACACTAGGTCTGTGGTTCTCAAAATTTGTGGCTCCAGGATTCCCTTACACTCTTAAACCTTGAGAACCCTGAAAAGCCCCTATTTATATAAACTTTATCAATATTTATCGTATTCAAAATTATAGCTGAGAAAACTTCAAAATATGACTGCATTAACAACGACAACAATTTCATTGCATTTTTAACAAAAATAACATTTTTATTTTTATTTTATTTTTGGTTTTATTTAATTTTGAGACAGAGAGAGACAGAGCATGAGTGGGGGAAGGGCAGAGAGAGAGGAAGACACAGAATCTGAAACAGGCTCCAGGCTCTGAGCTAGCTGTCAGCAGAGAACCCGATGTGGGGCTCGAACCCATGGGCCGTGAGATCATGACCTGAGCTGAAGTCGGATGCTTAACCAACTGAGCCACCCAGGTGCCCCAAAATGACATATTTTTAAGTGAAAACTAGGTAAATGTTCCAAAACAAAACAGTGAGAAGAGATTTTGTATTCCTGTAAGTCTTTTCAATATATTGCTTGATAAATTAGATTCTCCTATCTGCTGCTGAATTCCCTTTGCGGTGGCATGATTGTAGTATGTAGAGAAAAATACAGTTCCACACAGACGTATAGCTGAAAGGGTAGGAATATTTTAATGGTCTTTTCAGATAATTGCAGATATTCTTTTCTGATGCTACACTGTAACTCAATATGTGGTCGTTTCTTAAAGGCTAGCTGCAATGTAGAATGTGAAACCATATCAATTAACTTTTCACACTTGGTTACATTAAAATCCAGTGGTATATCTTGTACTTTCAATAGATCTTTTACCCAAGCACGGTTTTGTAATATCAGGCATTGGTTATCTGAAAAATATTAATTCACTGAGTTACACAGATCGTTTAAATGTTAACACGTTTCATTATACAATATAAAAAAATCACATTTGTTAATATCACCATTGAATTCACCAGAAACGTCTTTAAGTATTGAGAAACTGTCAAGCTCACAGTGGTGGATACAAGCTTCCCAAATTCTAATTTTCACTTGAAAGCTTAAGTTTTATCATTGGCAACAAGCACTGTCAGTTGTTTTTCTTGAAATGACAGGCTCACATCGTTCATTTTTGAGAAAATGCTGACCAAATACTCAAGTCTGAATAACGATAGTTTGTCAGTCATTCTTTCAAGTAAAAATAGTGTTTCATTAAAACAGTGGTCAGTTCAGATCCCAACTTAAAGAGCTTTTCCTGGAGACAAACCATTGTGCTTCAGCATGTAACAGAAATGCTGTACAAATACTTCTTAGCATATTAAAAAGATGTGCACTTGAGGATTGAGATTTAACAAAAATAATCCTTTTTTTAAATGTTAATTTATTTAAAAAATTTTTAAATGTTTTATTTATTTCTGAGAGAGAGAGAGAGACAGTGTGAGCAGTGAAGGGTCAGAGAGACAGGGAGACACAGAATCCGAAACAGGCTCCAGGCTCTGAGCTGGCAATCAGCACAGAGCCTGATGTGGGGCCTGAACCCATGAACCATGAGATCATGACCTGAGCTGAAGTCGGACGCTTAAGTGACTGAGCCACCCAGGTGCCCCAAATGTTAATTTATTTTTGAGAGAGAGACAGAGTGCGGGAAGAGAGAGAGGGAGACACAGAATCTGAAGCAGGCTCCAGGCTCTGAGCTGTCAGCACAGAGCCTGACACGGGGCTCGAACCCACAAGCTGTGAGATCATTATCTGAGCTGAAGTTAGATGCTATCTGAGCTGAAGTTAGATGCTTAACTGGCTGAGTCACTCAGGTGCCCCTAATAAGATAATACTTATTGCTTCATCAAGGATATTCTTTTCTTAAAATGTTTATTTAATTTTGAGAGACAGAGAGAGAGGATGAGAGAGGGTGAGGGGTGCAGAGAGAGAGGGAAACCCAAAGCAGGTTCCAGGCTTTGAGCTGTCAGCACAAAGCCTGATGCGGGGCTCGAACCCATGAATCATGAGATCATTACCTGAGCCCAAGTCAGACACTCAACCAACCGAGCCAGCCAGGCGCCCCTCACCAAGGATATTCTTAAGTGAAACTGTCAATCTTTTCCCCTGAGGGCAAGGTGATGCAGAACGCAATGACTGCCGGTACACTTTGGTGCTACCGCCTTGATTCATGCTACAAACCGGAAGAACAGTTCTTCAAGGTTCACCTACCTCAGCTTTTGCGGCACCAATGCAAACGTCGTCAACAGAGTGAGCCAAGGTAAACAGTGCCTGAGGATGAAGACAATTGTTTTGGACCTCACCCCCCCCCGCCCCCCTTCAGGCCATGGATCCTTTGGAGAGGGTCTCTGGGCCAGATGGATGACACAAGGAAGGAGATCCAAGCTAGCCTGGGTGCCTGTGACGACACTTCCCAGGGCACGGGCCCTCCCCACCTGACCTCCATCCTGAGCTCCTTCTACAGAACTAATTCTGCTTTTTACTCTGGGGCTTCTTGATTGCTTCCTTCCACCCAACACGTGGTTTTGCCTCCACCCTGGGGTGCTGATGCCTGTGCCTTAATAAAGTCCTGGCTGCAGCTCAAGTTTCTGGATGCATTTTTGTTATTATTTCTGGGATCTGGCTTTGGGTATCAGCCCTCCGGTCCCAGGCCCCATCATAAGGAGTAAGGTAAATTCTCCTCGGTAATTTTTCTGGACCATTCTGGGGTAGACTGTCCAGGTTTACTTCTCACTAGCTCTGGGTCTCGCTCTAGGTACGCACTAGAGGAGGCAGGATTCGAGGGATCAGGGATTTGGTACAAATGGATTTTGTTTAGGAAGATACCTAACTTTGGAAGTAAAACACAACTGTCTTGCTGGTTTTCTTCTTAAAAGACAAGGTGAAATATTCTTTTACTCTTGCAGATACAGGTCAAAATAAAAAAAAAATCTTCATTTAGTCAATGAATACATGCTAAGAGGAATGCTCAACATAGAACGGCTTTTAAAATGTGTGCTTATCCATTTCTCTTCCATCAGTACTTTCTGATTATGCATCAGAAGTTCATACAAGTATGAAACTTTGGTAAATGCATCTTTTAAATACAAAAGCTGGAGTTGGGCATGTACAGGAGAAGGTATCGTTTGCTGAAAATAGCTTTCAGCAAAATAGCAAATTAATTTAGAAGCAAATTAATATGATTTTCAAGGAGGCCCATCCCATTGAACAAATCATTTTTTATCATTACAAAAGAAATGCTTTCTTGTCCTGGAATACCTCTTATATTACTTTTCTGAGCATTCTTGAACTAAGGCTTCCTTGTATTTTGAATAGCCAATAGCTATCACAGTAATGTATCTGTGTGAAACAACCTTCCAATATTTCTAAGAGTCAGTGATAGAATGAAATGCCTTTCATGTCGTTCCTCAGCTCTCTCGCAAAATGAGCCCAGAGGCTTAACTCCAAGGGGGCTTTGGGAAGATATCTCTCGCTGCCCCTGGAAGTGAGGGGCACTGTTGCGGGAAAGCAGAGGTTTATGGGGTGATGGCGCAAAGGCACGTGAGCTGTATCCCAGGGAGAAGCAGGCTGAAGGTGGAGAAACAGAGGGCAGCCAGGAGCCCTAGTCCCAATGGTGTTATCTATGGCACAAGGGCAAGGGCTCTCGAGAATGGCTACTTTCCCTTCCCTCATAACCAGGAATATACTGATGTCCTATGGGAGGCTGACCTGGGTCTTCTGGGCATCAACAGGCAGGTCTTCTTAGTAAGCATCTTGAGTTTTAGAGGCAGACCACCTGGGCTTGAACACTGGCTCCCAATGTTCATCATTTATAGGTTGAGTGACCCTGGGCAAAGGACTTTTCTAATCTGTGTTCATCTTGGAGAGTTGTTATAAGGCTGTAAAGATATCATCTACATAAGGCACTTAGCACAGTAGCTGGCATGTAGCAGGTGCTTAACAAATGACAGCTATTACCATTTACATTATTCTTCTAAGCATAAGCTGTGCATCCCTAGAAGGAGAAGAAGTGAATCTAGGGCTTTTATATTCTTTCCCTACCAATCCCAGGAAGAGGATCCTGAGAAAAAGTAGAAGGTTCTATCAGATCGCTTGGGCACCGATTCAAGAACATGTCGCTTTCATTCAGGAGTGTTCACATCCTAGCTGGGAGGGACACCTCTAGACAGAAACATCTGGCTGACTAACAAAGAATTATGAGAAGATGCAGTCTTGTTGGGTGAGGACTCAAGAAGAAACCAGCTCAGTCAGGTCTCAGTCAGAACTCTAGGCCTAGAGTCCTTTGATCTCCCCAATTCTGATAAACTTCGTCTCTACTCTGCTTCAAAGACTGATCTTCCACGCTAGACCAGGGGCCTTGTCAATGACACAGAACTTCTCCACATATGAAATATCCAATGTCAAGATCCAATTCACTGTATACAGCTCCCTGCTCTTACAGCTCTATTCCTCTTTGATTCTCAAGTTCCTTTCAGCATCTTTTGAGATTCCTAGGACACTGACCACTCTACCTTCTCTCAGTCTTCGAGTACCCGTCTGGTTTTACTTTTTCTCTCTCTGGCCTAGAGCCCATTCTGCCATGCCTTTAGTTATATGGACCATTATCCTCAATGCTCCACCCCCTCCTTCTTCTATCCCACCCAACCTACAAAGCCCAAACCCAGTACCGATCCAGTCATAGTTCCTCAATCAGGCTTTGCATCCCATTCCTCCTACCTCTTTAGGGACTTGGCTCCTTCAGTCATGTTCCTCTGCCTTCACATCTACTTACTATTTCTACCTAACACATCTATGTTATGAAATATTACCCTAGATTCCAAATTCTTTTCTAGCATCTTATTCTTCAACAGTGGTTTTACACCAGTTCCCTCTACTTCCTCATCATCAATTCGCTCCTTAACCCAAAAAGCAAGCTGGCCTCTGTTTCCATGATCTTATCCAAACTGCTTTTGTTGAGATTGGTCATATCACCAAATCCAAGGAATTCTCTTTAATTGGCATGTCCAACTGCTGACACTGCTTCCTCTTCTAAAGGAGGAACCTTTTACATACCTGGGCTCTGTCACATTCTTCTCACTATAGAGACCCTTGCAGTGTGGCCGCGTTCAGAGCTAAGACTTCAACAACTCCCAGGATTCACAAGCTGATACCATGGACCTCAGATGTCTCTGCTGAGCAGAGACCCTATATGCACACTGGTTAAGAAAGCAGACTCTGAACTCACATAAACCTGCATTCCAATTCCCGTCTCTGCACCGACCAGCCATCTGGCCATGAGAAAGTCACTTCACTTAAATCTCAGGCTCCTCAGCTACAGAATGGGGGTGATTATATCGCTGGTATCCACCTCTAGAGCTCTCTTGAGGATTAAATTAAATAATGCATGGAGAAGCATATAATTAACACTCCATAATGTTAGCGATTGTTGTTATTACAGGATTCTCTACCCAAAACTCCCGAAGGAACTCAGACTTCAACTCAAATTACAAAATCAACTTAATGCCCTCATGCTCCTCCTTCATTACAGTAATCATCATAATAGCTTCTATTTCTCAAGGATCCATTTTGACAACTAATCTGTAAGTTAAATATTAGTGACCCTATTTCATGTATTTAAAAAACTGAGGGTTAGAGAAGTTAAGTACTCTGTTGGAAGTGACAGGAAAATGACAGTTAGGATTCAAACCCTGGCCCTTCTGACTCCAAAGTTAATGCTGCCTCGCACTGGTAAACCATTTCAGTGTTCGAGTCCCAAGCGAAAACCCAAGACCTTTATTTTGGACTTCTTCCTGTCACTCTGGGCTACATCTCGTGGTGGGCTGGGGAACTGGTGTTCACGGGAGAAAATGTCCTGATTTGTAACACTTGCTGACATCAAGCTCCCAAGGCAATGTCACTGAATGTGAGCTGGACAAAGATGGGCAGAGGTGGCAAAGGAGCCTTCATGGGCTGGCTCTGGCACATGGCTGGGTCCAGCAAGTCACTAGGTTCTGTTCATTCAGATCTAGATAGTTTGACTGAAAACAATTTGCCAGAAACAACTTAGTCAAAATGAAGGTGGTGGAAACAACAATTCTGGACAAGGATGACTAGCTGACCATTCATTGGACAGAGAAAGAGCTTGGAAAATAAAGAAAAACGGGTCATTTTTAAGAACATGGAAAGCATCATATGGGGTATCAAAAAAAATCACCAGAACTGAAGAAACCAGACTCGAGAGAGGTTCACTTTCACCTGCAGTGTGATTTCCGCAAGATTACTGGGGTGACTAAATTATATTTGGTCAAATTCTATGCTCTTGTTACCTCTACCTCCTTCAAATCTCTTATGAATCTTCAGGTTTTCTCTTTTTCATTTCCTTTGTTACCAGGTTAAGGAAACAACCAAATTCCTTAGGGTACACAGACCTCCTGTGATCGGAGCTTTACCTAGTTCTTGGCATCCTTCTTGCCACACGTTCCCCTTCCCCCCCCTTCCCCCTATCACCCACCCAATGGCCAGCCACGAGCTCTTTGCTCCAGTAATGCAAACTCTATGGCCCTGAACACATCATGTGGTTTCAGTTATCTATACCTCTGGAAGTGCTGCATTCCCTGAGATGCCTTTACAACACACACATGCATGCACACACAGTAACACGGTGTGGTTAATCACACTGTAAAGTATTCATGTTAATCCCATCTGCCTTATGGACAGGACTGCGTCTTCTTCACTTGGGCATTTTGAGTGTCTCCAGACCTCTCGCACCCAGAGTATGGTTCACACACCAGCACTATCAATATTACTTGTGAGCCTGTTACATATGCAAAATTTTCAGGCTCTACCACAATATCTACTGAATCAGAAACTATGAAGATGGGCCCCAGAAAGGATGTTTAAAAAGCCTTCAGGTGTCTCTTATGCACTGAAGGCTTGAGAAGCACTGCTCTAGAGAATTGGTAATGTGGGCTGAGTGAACTGATGGTTAGGAACCAGGAACACTCCTTTATATTTCTTTAAAACCTACATACATTCCAAGCTTTTGCTTTTGTTTATGTCAATCCGAACATATATGTATATGTATATGTATATACATACATAAATAACCAATCTTTCCAAAATGTCCAGTGAAATTTTACTTGATTATTGAATCACCTTGGACAATAAGCTTTCTCCTCTAAAATGAGGCAGTTAACATAAGACTTCATTTATTATTTTTAGCTATTGTTTAGTAGCTAAATTGGCATCACAGTTCTGAATCTGGGCTGGAGGAACAGATCCCCGGGAAGTTACAGACACAGCGTCTTGCCTAGTACCCATAGCAGTTTAGCGGGAGGCCAAGTTCAGACTAAGCAGCTTCAGAATTCCCACTTAGGCGGCTACGCCCACTGAGTCACTCACAATGCTGCTCTTCCTTCAGGTGTGCCACAGTAATTAACTTGGTGGAGAGAACTTGGGAGAAAACACCTTATTTTGTGGTCAGGCAGTTAAGTGTGTAGAGGTCCCTACCCTCTATCTGGTCATTACTTAAAGGACATTCCTATTTGGCTCGAAGTGATTTGTTGGTGCTGGAATATAGGCAGCCTTTTCACATCACCCTCTGTA